GTAATAACATTTGTGTAATAACAATTCATAGTGTAACAATAATTGTGATCGGTGGAGTGCCCAACATATTGTGTCGCGTCCCAAAAATGGCACGCGTGCCATTGGTTCGCCATCCCTGCCCTATAGATATAGACATTTTACCCTACAATGATGAAACAGACACTTTCAGTTTTTGATGTTTCTTTTTTTGTTGAATTTCTCAAGAAATACTTCGAGAACTATTTTGTAAATTTAAAAGTATCTAGTTCATGCGATTTTTCATACTTTTCAATAAAGTTTAAAGCTTTCAGAGGTTTGAGAAACCGACATTAATTTAAAAAAGAAAACAAATATTTTTAAACACACTATGCCAGAAAATCAAGCAATAAGCTTGTAGCATATATCGATTATTTTAGTTGTTATTTGCAATAACCACATAATATTTCGTTAATCTAGCTTAAATATTTACTCAGATATGAACAATTTTATAAAAAACAAATTTTTTTGTTATAACTTAAAAAATATTCAGTAAAATTAAATGAAATAAATGGAGCAATTCAAAATTAATTAAAAAAAACTATTGTTTTATAAATTTGAAAAAAAATTGTTAAAAACTGTGCAATATATGATTATTTGAAGTAATTTTTTTTTGAACTGCGCATGCGCGGAAGAAATCGTATTTGGCAACTAATGGAGAAAATCTGATTTAAATATCTTACAAATGTAAAGTGTCAAGCAATTTTCTAAGTAGTTTTGTACTTTTTAAAATAAAGCTCAAATTAATTAGGGTTTTTTCACGAATTTTATTACATAATATTGCAAATCACACTACCCTATAATGACTGAACAGCAAGAACAAAATTAAATGTAAGGAAAACCCCTTATTGTTTTGAATTTTCTTTAAAAATATGCGAAATTTACTGTAATAATGTTGCTTAAAAAAATGTTTACGTTTTTATGATATTTGAATCAAATTTTTACCATTAGTTGCCAAATACGGTTCAGAATAAAATTATGAAAAAATTATTCTAATTTTTTACAGAGCATGCGCAGTATAAAAGAACTACTTTAAGTACTCACATCTTGGGCATTTCTTTTTTTAAAAAAATTTCAAAATTTTAAAACCATAATTTTGTAATTTAATTTAAATTGCTCCAAAAATTTGTTTAATTTCACTGAATATTTTTAAAGTCATAGCAAAATACATGAGAAAAAAAATTAGTTTTTTTTTTTTAAAAATGTTCAAATCTCCATAAATATTTAAGCTAAATTTACGAAATCTTAGTTAGCAGTTCTTGCAAATAACAGCCGAAGTAATCAATACAAGTCTAAGTGAGAAATCAAGCTTACTGCTTGATTTCTGACAGAGGGTGTTCAAAAATACTTGTTTTTTGTAATTTATTGTCAGTCGCTAAAACCCTGAGAGCTTTAACCTTTGTTGAAAAGTATGCAAATTCGCAAAACTTCTAAAATTGCTTAATAGTCCTATTAGTATTTTTTAAGAAATTTAAAGAAAAAAAAAAGAATATCAAAAACCAAATGTGTCTCTTCCATTATTGTCGGGTAGTGTATACCTAAAAGAGCAAAGGTATTTATTATTAATACCTTAGCTTTTTTTATTAATTTTTAATTAAACAAATGCACAAATCTCCATAAAATAATAATCAAAATAAATCTTTTTTTTTTTCCAATTTAGGGAAATAGGTATGAATTAATTTGCATTTGATTCAAATGATCTGGCAATTCACTATTAATTTTATTCTATATCGATAAGCTTTTTAATTGTTTATAAAAATTAAAAATTTTATTGTAAGAATTTTTATCACAGTACTTAAAATTTATGTATTTATATGCTGCTATTAGTTATGACTGATTAATAAATTATACTTGGAATTAGAGTTGATTGTTTTATATTGAGCCTCGAGAATACGGCAGTAGATAAGCTATGAAATTTTTCAAATCAAAACAAATAAATCTTTCACCATTAGAATGATATGACCTTCTTTAAAGTTTACAGTATTTAAAAGGTCATATGTTTTGATGCTTAGAATTAATTTTCTTATACCTTGAAAATAAATGGAAGAATTTTACTTAAAAAGCGACTTTTTTTAAATCTTCGAGTTTTAGGATTGAAATCAATTAAAGGTACAAAATAATCCTACCAAACATAAAATATAGAATATTCTAAGAATATAGNAGAATGATAAGCTATGAAATTTTTCAAATCAAAACAAATAAATCTTTCACCATTAGAATGATATGACCTTCTTTAAAGTTTACAGTATTTAAAAGGTCATGTGTTTTGATGCTTAGAATTAATTTTCTTATACCTTGAAAAAAATGGAAGAATTTTACTTCAAAAGCGACTTTTTTTAAATCTTCGAATTTTAGGATTGAAATCAATTAAAGGTATAAAATAATCCTACCAAACATAAAATATAGAATATTCTAAGAATATAGAATATTCTAAGAATATAGAATATTCTAAGAATATGGAATATTCATAAGTACATGACTATAACAAGAATATCAAATGTTACATTAAGTTAGAATTTTCTAAACATGATTAACTACACTGTAGAAAATGTTGGATTAAATTACGGTATAAAGAACCGGCACTTTGGGTGCATCATCTATAAATCCATTTTTACCGTAAAATGTTATACTGCACTTTTTACAGTAATTTTTATTTAATTAGAGTGATTCAGAGATTTTACGGTAATTATTACGGTATATCAGATTTTTTGTTCCATAGCTTGTTCTGCCAAAAATGGATTTTACGATAAAAAGTATTGGCATCCTGAGTACCAGTACTTTTTACCGTAATTTGATTCAAAAGTTTTTACTTTTGAACTTTTCTTTACTTCTATCTATTCGAATATCTTTTTTGAAGGGTTTCAAAGCATAATAATAGCGAAAAAATTTAAATTATTGTGAAATATGAAAATTTAATTCATTCAGTTCTGATATTTAGTTTTTTTCCCTTTGAGGACTCTAGCTTTGCCATCTTGGATTTTACTACTAGATTGTTCTGGAAACAAGTTTTTTATTTGATTTTATTCAGATTTCTTTTTCGTACTTTAGAAACTTTTAATGCTACAGTATTATTTGATAGCACATCACCTTTAAAAAAAAGTGGAAAATGAAAGGGTCGCTTTATTAGTTTAGGAAAAATAGCGCTATTAGGGCTATAATATAAATAGCGCTTTAGGTAGAATAGCTTGTTAATTTTTAAAACTTTTACCGATTTTTCCTCAAAGTTATGCTATTGGAGGTTTCGAGTCACTCAACTAGGACTACAGTTTTTTCAGTTTTTAAAATTTGTAATTTCTGTTTTGTTACACTTTAAATTGACGAAAACTGATTTAGAAGATGATAAAAAATTCTTCTGACGTTAATTGCAACAAAAAAAATTAAGCAAAAAAATCTAAAAACAGACAACTGTGTACTATTTAACTAATTTTCAAAAATAGCTAATTGCAGAATTGTATTGACATAATTTTGACAGAATTTTTTTTATAGAGAATTCAAAATATCGTGTGCTATATAAGTCAAATTCAGAATGGCTGACAGCGTTGCATTTTGCATCTATCGAAACATATTGTGAAATAGATTAAATATCTGTCATCGATTTATTTGTTAAAATTGAATAAAGATGTTTAAACGCATGTTTAAGGAACTGAAAGAGAGATGATTTTCAAAACATTAAAATTTCTACTAACGTGATAATATGTTTTTATTAAATTTTATATATTTTCTTAACTTGCTTTCATTATTCTGACTTTTGTGAGGCCTGAGTCTACTGGATTCATTCGTGTAGATTAAGGTAGAAAGCAAGGTTGTGTCATATACTTTCAGAATATTCAGTTCAACGCTAAACCAAACTTATTATCGTGCAAATTAGTCGCAACTTTAAGAAATTGTTAAATTTGCTTATAATTATTAAAGTTTAGCAGAAATAGGGTTCAATTTAACGTAAACCAAACTATTGGTACTTTGAAACATATTATCGTGCAAATTAGTTGCAACTTTAAGAAATTGTTAAATTTGCTTATAATTGTTAAAATCTAGCAGAAACGGGGTTCAATTTAACAGTTTAATAAGGTTGCATCACAGGTGGACAATATTATGGTTCAACGCGATATTACAAATACATACCGATACTTCGCCTTAACATTCGATTGATTTTTCTAAGAGTGTAATAATATGATTTTCCAAAAACGCAAATTAAGAACACTTTTAGTCCAAGAGATCCTTTCTTTTTTTTGGAAAAGGAATACAAAGTTCTCTCTTCGATGAAAATTTTGCTGCCAACGTACTATAATTTTTTTCCATGTAATCCTCGGAAAGAATAGAGATTTATTTTGAATTCGGAACTATCTCTTTCTCGTGATCAATTATGTATCTGTTTTGCGTTAATTTTTATATACTTACATATTTTCTTTAAGAATAAATTTAATAGCTTATAGAAAACAAAGCATATTAAGCAAGATCACGAAAGGTTCGCAAATAATTTTCTAATCAAAGTAGTTTAATTTTCTAAAAACCGTATTTTGAAGATTCAATATAAAAAACCAGTTAAATCTTTCAGTCTTCAATTTCTCGTAAATCTATGAGTGATTCAAAACTATTCTCCAATTTGGCTGCGATTGACATTTCTTAAACTTCTCGAGAATGCTTGTGGAAGCAATTTACATATGAAAACAACCTTGCTTACCATCTATTTTTATTCTTAATATCTGCTTATCTATTTAATTGTCTGTATATAAGGATCTGCTTTTGGTTGGTTTTAAAAATTGTCTATTTTTGCGAGATTAAATGGCTCCATTGACCCTGACAAATGAATGGTATTTCTTCATCACCTGTTTTACAGTTTTAGTTGTTGCATTTTATTGCTGTTCTTGGAAAATACCCTTCAATCCGATAACATCTACCTTTTTTTTCTATCTCCGTTGCTGACAAACTAAAAGGTATGACAAGTCGATGTCGACAGATTTTCTTATCACTAATGCATAGCACGTCATTTGTGTTGGAGTGGGTCAGGGGTCCTTTTACATTATGAGGTCGTTCTGATTGAGGTTAGTCAAGGCAAGTTGTTGTTCTGAGAACCAATGAAAGTGGTAGAAACACTTCTTGTCCAGTCTTTTGCAAAGACAAGTAACAGTGATAATTTTCACACTTTAGAATAAAACTTCGACACATATTTTTCATTAGTTGAGCAGAACTTTCTTGGATTTTGGTGTTAAGAAAAGGTAAGAACAATTTTTCTTTTAATACCTAACGTACATATTTTCAATTTTTGATTGCTTTATCGTTTTTTAATTTAAATTTCACACGTTTATAATTACGAGTGCATCTGCAAATAATTCTTTTGTCCAAAACTATCTTCAAATAGTTGTAAAATTTGTAATTAATATCTAAAAAAGCAATTTTCGGCTTTAAGTTGTATTTTGAGCATTATTTAAATCAGCTATTTTATTAAAGAAAACACTGCTTTAGATACTAAAAAGCTAATTTTGAAGGTCAAAATTAGGACTTAAAGGGTTCAAACGAAGCTAAGAATGTAACAAAAATTGCTTTTATCTGCGCAATTTACGAGCAATTATTAATTCTTGCCTTATAAGATATTATTTTAACATAAAATGAGTTAATTGCTCATTAGTTAAAAAGTTTGAAAAACAATGAAAGTGGTTTAAATTGAAATAAATACGTCGTTTAATAAGATAAATGGTTTAAGAAAAGATATATTGTCCAAATTAAAGTCCAGAGAAGCCATACTGTCTAACACAGAATCTGTAAACATTGCATAAAATTGGCAATTTTCTGCATTTATGCTGAGATAATTAACTTTAAGTAGTAATGATAATTTTTCAGATTGATAAATCTCTTAGAACTTTCCTATGCAAAATTTGTTGGTAAACATAAAAAAAACTATTCTAGCCCAGAGAAGTCGTATTATTTAACACAAAATCTGTAATATTGCTTAAAATTGACAATTTTCTGCATTTATGTTGAGATAATTAACTTTTAGCAGTAATGATAATTTTTCAGCCTGATAAATTTCTTAGAACTTTCCTATGCAAAATTTGTTGGTAAACATAAAAAAAAACTATTCTAGCCCCAGAGAAGTCGTGTTATTTAACACAAAATCTATAATATTGCTTAAAATTGGCAATTTTCTGCATTTATGTTGAGACAATTAACTTTACGCAGTAATGATAATTTTTGGCCCTGATAATTTGTTTTAGAACTTTTATGCAAAGAACTTTACGAAGCAAAGAAAAATAAAAAAGTCCTTTTAGAATCCACAGTGACTTCATTTCCTCTTAAATCAAAAGTGCAAAATGAAAAATTAAGAAATTTTAATCTTAATAGGATAACCATTTTGTTTAATTATATTAAAGAAAATGGTGATTATATTAAGATAATTATAATTATTAGCACAGAGATTAATTAGCACAGGCCAGTTTAAAACACAAAGATTGCTATCTTTAACATGAACATCAGATCTTTTAAACAATAATCCGAAAATCCTATCATTCGATCATTAAACATGCAGTTCTCAAAATTAAAAATATTGCAAGAGTACTAACTTCTGATTTAATGATTGGATTTACAAGTACTAAAATGCAATGCTCACAGTTTAGGTTCCCCACTGAAGTTAAGGTAATTAATACCTAACACTAAGTGATAAGTGCTTTTTATGCTACAAAATCAGTTAAACAAAAGTATATTTCTTCTGATGAAACATGCCTTTTTATTGAAGGATTCTTTGCCTTCAAAATATGAGGAGAATATTCATTATCTAGAAAAAATGACCAGTAATTTAGTCAAGTGGTTGAAAAACGTGGACCACTTAATGTCCTGTTTACTTTTTGCATTTTTCACGGCTATTACATAATAAATGAAAGAACTAAAAACTTTTGCTCTCCCTTATAAAACTTGTTTAATAAAAATTAAATAAATAAAATAACAATAATTAGATTAATGGAAAGATAATTTTTGTTGTAGTTCTAATTATTTTTCCTTGTTTTAATATTTTAAAGCTATAAGCTATAAATATTTTTCATCGTACAAAATATAAATAATTAATTTCAAATGTCCAAACCTACAATTTAAAACAATGCAATAAAAATATTTTAAATTACGAAACAAAATTTCGTATAAAAATGATATGCTGTTTTTAATTTTTATTTCTCGGCAATTATTTCACTAATTTATTGTACATTCACAAACTAACACGATGAAAACATTTACAGCTTGTAAATTAAAAATGGTTCAAACACTGTAAAGTTGAATAATACATAATTATTGAACGCAATTATTTGCAGGAAATTATATTTGTGTTAACGAGGCTTATAATTGAGAGAGAAATACTTTTGATTGAAATTAGTAGTCATATGTAAAGCAAAATTCTCAAAAAGTAAAAATAACTTCAAGGTGATCTAGGCTTTTAATTGAGGCAAAGTTTTCAGATTTTGACAACTTCCCTTAGTTTGGGACTTAATAATTATAATCAATCGAGGGAAAAATATTAAGGGAAAATACGTTAATGTGTTTAATTGTGTTACGTAAAAATATAATTACATTAATTATTAAGCACATTTTAACCCATTAATAGCAGATTTCTAGTAAAGCGGTGATGGGAAAAACGCCTTTAAGAAATTATTTGGAGAGCTCAAAAAAAGTGAGCACCTTGAATAACTTTTCATCTAATGATCGAGTTTTCACTAATTTTCAATCCTAATGGTTCGACAGCTCAATCTTGCGTATGCTAATTAACAAGAGCAGACGATATTTTAAGTTGCGAAATTAGATACCAAAACTTACTTTCTCAGATTAAATATGCATTTTTTCCCAAGAATTAGGCTTTTGTATATTCAAAATAGGAAGGGGGTTGCATGGGGTTTGGAAAGGTTATAGAGAGGGGGATCCCAGTAGTTCAAAATTTCGATCCCTATAACTAGGGAACTTGGAAAAATTTTTGCACGCAATTATAAAATTTGTCTATCTAAAAATAATTCCGAGAAAAAATTTTTAAATAGTCATTTATAATTTTTATATTTCATTTAATAGTAGTCAAAAAATTTTGAATTGTAATATATTTGAATTGTGAAAAAAATTATCATTGTGATGTCAACAATCATGCTCATACTCTTTTACATGAGATTTGAACACACTCATAGATATATATAAACTGTATTTTAATTATTGTAGTCACATTGTAAAAATTACAGATCAAACTATGGTAAAATGTACCGGGACTCAGGTGCCAGTACTTTCTTTAGCAAAATCCATTTTTACCGTAAGAGTTTACGGAACAGGAAATCTCATATACAGTAATTTTTACAGTAATATTTACTTTAAAACCACTTAATCATTGTATTTAATTAAGTATCACTGTAAAAATTGCAGAATAAAAGTTTTATCATATTTCATGGTAAAATGTTTTTTACGGATGCTGCACTTATGGGGGCAGTACATTTTACCGTAATTTGATCCGGAATTTTGCACAGTACAATTCCTACAGAAACTTGAAATTACTTAACTTTTGGAGAAAATGCATTTCAATCAGTCGCATTAACTGGACATCCTGTTTGTGGGACATCTTCCAATTTTTTTTCAATTTGCACTTTTCCTGATATAGAGTTCCAGTGTTTTGCCTTGGTGCGCTGAAAACTCTTCATCCATGCACTCCTACAGTACCTTTTTTAATCTTCCACTTATTCAAATGAAGAAGGGTATATTTTGAGCAATGTATGGAAATAAAACTGGAAAACGGAAATAGAGCTCAAAGCACACGTGAATAAAGCACTCAGAATGAATGTATGTTTTGTAGCTTTATTTTTATCTTCTTCTTTCTGCGAAGGAATGAGTGAAATTTCATTGATTCTCACAAATTCAATCATTATCAGAAGATGTCATACCCATCTCAATCTATTTTATCTCGAACTATTTCAATTGATTTAATGATATCCACACTCCTTCGAGATTTTATACTATTCAAAGTTACATATAATTTTGTTAGAAGCTATCTAAAAAAGCGGTAAAGATAGTTGAAAAGAACTTTCTTCCTTACAACCACAAAGCTTTTTGAAAAAAACACTTTTAAACATACAAAAATTTTAATCAACAATGCGCTAAAAAAAGAAACACCAGGAATAACTTTTGATCTAGTGAACGGATTTTCACATTCTAGGACTCAATCTTAATGGTTCGAGGATGTGACCTCAAATATGTTAATTAGATAGGGCAGGCGATGTTTTAAGTTATGAAATCAAACACAAAAACCTACTTTATCTGGAAAAAAACATATCCTTCTTTCAGATTTCTCCACCCCAAGAAATGAGGGGGAGGGGAGGTCAGGAGAGTGGTCAAAATTTTGGATCCCTAAATGTTAATTTTACTTTTAGCGTAATTCAGCATATCTCGAGAACTTTCAAAGCGAATGGAAAACTGTTCAAAGACTGTTATATATATAAAAAAAAATTGCGACTCTGATAGCGTTCTTGAGCTTTCGCCTTCCAATGAGGTGAACCGGGGTTCGATCGCGGCAATGACTGGTNTTAGAAGCTATCTAAAAAAGCGGTAAAGATAGTTGAAAAGAACTTTCTTCCTTACAACCACAAAGCTTTTTGAAAAAAACACTTTTAAACATACAAAAATTTTAATCAACAATGCGCTAAAAAAAGAAACACCAGGAATAACTTTTGATCTAGTGAACGGATTTTCACATTCTAGGACTCAATCTTAATGGTTCGAGGATGTGACCTCAAATATGTTAATTAGATAGGGCAGGCGATGTTTTAAGTTATGAAATCAAACACAAAAACCTACTTTATCTGGAAAAAAACATATCCTTCCTTCGGATTTCTCCACCCCAAGAAATGAGGGGGGGGGGTGGCAGCAATCTGAGATGCATGGTCCTAACAGTTTGGCCAGGATAGTGGTCAAAATTTTGGATGCCTAAATGTTAATTTTACTTTTAGCGTAATTCAACATATCTAGAGAACTTTCAAAGCGAATGGAAAACTGTTCAACGACTGTTATATAAAAAATTAAAAAAATTGCCACTCTAAAAAAGCGTTCGCCTTCCAACGAGGTGAACCGGGGTTCGATCCCGGCAACGACTGGTTGATCTGAATTCCGCACCCGACTTGCACCGATCACAGTGGTGACGTGAAATATCCGCAGTGGTAGGCGGATCGTGGGTTAGAGTCTCCTTGCCGTCAGACCAATCATGGGAGGTTCTCGTAGTCTTCCTCTCCATGTAACGCAAATGCGGGTTAGCTCCATCAAAAAAACCTGCACGAAAGCAAATTTCCCCCAATATTTGATCCAGGATTTCCCTTGTCTTCTGAATTGAGTTGAAAATTACAAGGCTACGGAGTTGAACATTAGTAGTCGTAAACACTAAGAATTGGGTCGGCTGTTCGACGACGGTTATAAAATAAAAATTGCGACTCCCTCTTGTATTTTGGGAATCAGGAATCATAATTCATTGAAAAAAAATATGTTTATTTAGAGAAAGTATGTTTTTGTGTGATTTCGCAACTTAAAATATCGTTTACATTAACTAATTACTATATTTAAGGTAGCTCTTTTGAACCATTGAGTCCTAGTACTGAAAATCTGATCTTTTGATAAATAGATTTTCAGCGTGTTTCATTTACTTTTTCGCAAACTGCTCAACTCTTTTATACTTAACTGAAAAAAGTTAATTTTTATTAAATGCTTTGATAATTCTATTTTCAGTTATTGTAAAATATGTTGATTTTTCGAATCGTTGCTTACAAACCAATTTCTTTTGTTCTTATCAAAACTCATTCATATTTGCGAATTCTCAATCACACACTTGTGTCCTTAAATTAAGGAAAATCATAATTATGCGGAAACTTTAAAGTAAAAATTTCATGTGTAGAATTATTAACACAACTTCAGGAATGATATACAAATTACAGGGAGTCAATTAATTACGCTGGTAATACCTCACAATGATGAGAATGTAAGTGAGGTTTCTATACGGAATGGCGGCAGAAAAGTAAAATTGCTTAGAAGCGTTCTGTAAGCCGTTCAATGCCATAACCGAATAGTTATAACTAAAAGCGTGTGGATAATTTTTTATGTGGTAGAACTTTTGACCACCTGAAATTGTATTCAGATGGAGTACAAGGAGCATGAATTTGCCCAATGTCTAGGGTTTGGATTCCAAGATGATGGAAATGTCAGTGAACTTTACAGTGCCGATCACCCCCACTCCTTGAAATACAAAGCCGAATAAAGATTGGCATTTGACAATAACTGCCAAAAAAGGTATACAGAGCTCAGCATCTGACCTGTCACGTCAGCTCTCTTCAGCTACTAGTACCACAATTTCAAGGCAAACCGTGTATAGATGCTTGGGAAATATTGGTTTATATGCTTGCAGACCTGTCAGATGGGTTCTACTCTCGCCACCTCATTGTCGTCAGCTATAAGCCTGGAGTAGAGAAAGTGAACATCCTCACAGTGGGTTTGTGTGATGTTTTCCAACAAGTCCAGGTTCAATTAGCAGTCTGATTCACATCGGCCTTTCATGTGACTAGTGCCAGGTATCCATTACCACCAAGACAACATCAATGATCGACACCGTTAAGGTGGTGCAGTATTGATCGTTTTTGTTGGAATCATAATGGACTCCACAGCAGATCTGCATGTTCAGACACGAACCACGAGTGGTCAAATTTAGTATGTTTAGGGACGCAAAATTTGTGCATATTTTGCAAAATTTGTCCAAGACAACGCCCATCATCACCGAACAAAAATCGCATGCTGGTGAGAATTGAACAACGAATGCCTTCAGTTTAAGTATGTCTCTGCATTCTCACCTGGCTTGAATCTCATTGCGCATGAGTAGGACATGCTTAGTCGACGAGTTGCAGTCAGTCAAACACCTCGCACAAGTGTAACGGAACTTCGGAGAGCATTACTTGCTGAGTTGAGTCCTCTTCTCTTAAATCGAGAGCTCGATGGAGGCCGGGTTAGCCTGATTGGTAGGGCACTGAGCCGATGTCCAAGAGTTCGTGGGTTTGATCGACGTCTGCCAAAGACTTTCCGTGTAGTAAATGGTGACTGATGCACGCTAAATCTGTGAAGTCGCGAAGTCCTCCATGTCCCCATAACAAATCAATACCTCTGGGGGACTGATCCAGGAGTTTCCTTGTCTTCTTGATTGGTTCAAAATTACAAGTCCACAGAATTGAACATTATTAGTCATAAACCCAAAACTGAGTCGGCTGTTCAACGACGGATAAAATAAAATAAATCAGCTCAATAGTTTGATACTCAGCATGCTTAGGCGTTGTACGGTCTGTATTTTCTAGCACGGGAGATATACAGTGTATTAACCATAATACTAACCATGTAATATTAAGTTCTTGTAAAAGAGATATTTTTTACAATTGCTCCAGGGAGCAAAAATCATAGCTTTAAAATGGTATCATGCATACACCATCTTTTTAAATCTTCTTCTTTTGTTTAATAAATAGGCTTTTATGAATAAGCAACATTTGTTTTGTTTCTGAGCTTTTATCTCTCGGAGCTGGCATTATCCATAAATTACGGACATTTGCTGGTATTATTCGACAGAATGTAGATTGAATAAATATGGCTGATGAATAAAGAGTATTTTCACACTAAAGAAAGAAATAGCTAATTTAAATAAACAACAGCTTATTGCTAGATTGTTCAGGAAACAAACACGAGGAAGTATGGGACACAATGTGAAAAATCTGTGTCAAATTTCACCACCTCCATTTTTTTAAATAAATTTTCCTTATCAAATAAATTTTATTGACTTTAATATTTATAACTTAAATGTAATACATACTTAAATACAAATGAATAAATACTCAAACAAATCGTTAACAACAGGTGTAAACTAGAAAAGTGGAACACTTGAACAGTACAATTTTGAAAAGCTACTATTTAAATTCCAGGTAGGATTTGTTTTCATTACTTTTATATGAATTATATTTCTCTTAAAGTGCGAATGATTTAGATAAGTATTCAAATAATTCTTTTAAGATATACCAGTGGAGTTTTCATATTATATATCGAAGTAAGTAAGGTTTTAGTTTTCAATAACCTTCAAGTACTTTGATAAAGGTGAGTTAAATAATGCCTTAATTGTATTTTGTGTCACTGTCTTTAAGGATTTCAAATTTGTGATTATTTTAATGCAATTAAATGATATTTAGAATGGATATATTTTATGTATTTTGGAATGCAACAATATTAAAACGGGTGTATTATGTTCCTTTTTAAAGAAAATCCTTCGAAATCTTAAAGCTACTATACGATAGAAGAAATTATATATCATAAATAAATATTCAGAATTGAAAAAATTTTTATTTGAGAAATAATAGAATGTTGAAAAAATGATTGTGATAACATATTTTTGCTCATAATAAAGTTTTAGACGAAGTTTTTCATTTCTTCGGGTGAATCTGCAGTTTAATCAAACTTTTAAGAACATTTATATTTCTTAGTATATTATTTTTAATAACTGCAATTTAAATCAAAAGAGATAGCAATTTTCTAAATTTTATTTATCAATAAAAATGAGCTGTTTTTTAGAGTTCAAAGGCTAATTTTATAAAACACTTGATAAATGTATAATCCTATAAAAATGTGGTATTTTTAAAATTCAATTTCTCAGAAACTGTTCCAACTATTTTCACTCTAATTTTGCAAAATTACATTCTTGAAAATTATGTAAAAATTACAATGAAAATTTTTTTGACTATTTTTAAATAAAGAATAAAAAAATATTTACTAAAAGTCAGTTGTTGCATGGAGTACACGAGACATTATCCTTGAATAAACAAATTTTAAAACTGTGTGCAAAAGTTTTAAAGTCGCTTGCAAAGTTCTCGATATGTGACGAAATACGTGAATAGTAAAATTAGTATTAAGGGGTCCAAATTTTCCTGACCGAACTATTGGGACAATATTTCTCAGATTGCTGTTACCCCCTATATTTTGGGGGTCAAAAATCAAAATACGACGAAGAAAAGGTATGTTTATTCGGAAAATGCGCGTTTTTGTGTTTGATTTCGTAATTTAAAATATCGTCTGCACTAATTAATTATCATATTTGAGTTCAGCCCCTAAAACTATGAAGATTGAGCCCTAGAACGTGATCAAAATTTATTCAGGGTGGTTCTTTTTTTTGCGCTCTGCACANCGAAGTTTTTCATTTCTTCGGGTGAATCTGCAGTTTAATCAAACTTTTAAGAACATTTATATTTCTTAGTATATTATTTTTAATAACTGCAATTTAAATCAAAAGAGATAGCAATTTTCTAAATTTTATTTATCAATAAAAATGAGCTGTTTTTTAGAGTTCAAAGGCTAATTTTATAAAACACTTGATAAATGTATAATCCTATAAAAATGTGGTATTTTTAAAATTCAATTTCTCAGAAACTGTTCCAACTATTTTCACTCTAATTTTGCAAAATTACATTCTTGAAAATTATGTAAAAATTACAATGAAAATTTTTTTGACTATTTTTAAATAAAGAATAAAAAAATATTTACTAAAAGTCAGTTGTTGCATGGAGTACACGAGACATTATCCTTGAATAAACAAATTTTAAAACTGTGTGCAAAAGTTTTAAAGTCGCTTGCAAAGTTCTCGATATGTGACGAAATACGTGAATAGTAAAATTAGTATTAAGGGGTCCAAATTTTCCTGACCGAACTATTGGGACAATATTTCTCAGATTGCTGTTACCCCCTATATTTTAGGGGCCAAAAATCAAAATACGTCGTAGAAAAGGTATGTTTATTCGGAAAATGCGCGTTCTTGTGTTTGATTTCGTAATTTAAAATATCGTCTGCACTAATTAATTATTATATTTGAGTTCAGCCCCTAAAACTATGAAGATTGAGTCCTAGAAAGTGATCAAAATTTATTCAGGGTGGTTCTTTTTTTTTGCGCTCTGTACATTGATAATTTCTTTTTTTATTGCACAGAGAGAAAAAAAAACTTATTAAACAGAATAACTTTTAATTTAATCATCAAATTTTCTCGAACTAAAAGCTCACGATTCAAAGAGATGACCTTAAATATGTTAATTAATTGGTGATGATAATATTTTAAGTTAAGAAATTGGACACAAAAATGTACTTTCGCTGAATAAATATGTTTTGAAGGATTTAGATTCCTGACCCTAAAAATAGGAAAGCGTAATCCAAAACCTGGAAAATAAGGTTTTAATAGTTTAGGAAAGAGGGTCAGAACTAGGAAGAGTTTCAAAAAATATTTACACGTAATTATAAAAGTTGTTTATTCAAACATAATTCATGTGAAAAATTATTTTTTAAACTAACTATCATTTTTTATTAATTATATGACTAATGGCCTAAACATTTTGAAATGTAATGTCGACAAATTCATACACCAGTTTATTTACGCAATTCAAAAANAAAATAAAAAAAAAAAAAAAAAAAAGGCAAAATCTGAAATTTTAAGGGTCAAATTGTTTGAATAGAATATACGCCCCAGGCTGTAAACCTGCCTAAACAGTTAGAATCCTATTTTACAGATTGCAGCTACCTACCTTATTTTGAGTGCCCAAATCCATTAGAAAAAAATTTATGTTTATTTAGAGTTGATTTCATATCTTATAGATTCATTTATAAGCATACTTCCCAAGCAATCGAGTCCAAGTGTTTGAAGGACCAACCATTAGAACAAAAGTTATAGATGTGTTCGCTTTTCTGTAGTATACAGTAGCTTTTTTAGGTTATTTTTGAGAAATTTTATATTTTTGTCTTCAAAACATTAAAGAGAGAGAGAGAGAAAATCTCAAATGTACTCACGCTTTTATGATCATATTTTAAAATGTGTTTCTAAATTTTTTCTGAACTTAGTTGTTGTAGTTCATTTATGTCGCACTAGAGCTGCACAATGGGCTATTGGCGACGGTTTGGCAAACATCCCTGAGGATGATCCGAAGACATTCCATCACAATTTTGATTCTCTGCAGAGGGGATGGCACCCCCGCTTTGGTAGCCCAATGACCAGCACTCGAAGTCGAGCACTTTACGGTAGCACAGTTTAACGAGGATCAATACCGCACACCCTCGGTCCCTACGCAGACTGATCCAAGTGGTCACCCACCCGCACACTGACCGCATCCAGTGATGCTTGACTTCGGTGATCTGCTGGGAACCGTGTCTTAACGATCAGTCCACGGCGGGACTTCTGAACTTAGAATATATTAAAAAGAATAACATGAAAAGCAAAAATACTTTATTACACTTTATTTCCTTCAAAAAAAATTTTCTTAACGCGAGAAAAAACACAATGCTTTGAGAAAGGGTTTTTCTTAATAACAATACTTCGGAATAATTTTTTTTTCTCTTGATGAAAAAAAAGAAACTCTTTATTAATTCACTTTTGGAGAAAAAAATTAAATCTTAACACTAAATTTGTAAGGGTTAAATAAATTGAAATCATAAATTTAATCTAATTAATATTATTGTAATTATAGTTATTATTATAAATCGTGAATGCAAAGTTTTTCCCTATTTTAATACCTAGAGGACAGCAGTCCTCAATCAAACCAGTGCCAGAGATTCTGAAGGACTTTACGTAATGTTTCAAGATTTACACTAGATTTTTAATTTCACAGATTTTACATGTTACAAATACATATGCTAATTTCCCTAGAATAAAAACTAAAGCACACAGATTTTGGAGCGCGATTTGAGCTCCGCCAATGCTAGAAAATAATCTGAATACACGATGTGAAACTCAATAAAAATATTCTTTCCTTCCAACTGTTGTCAACGTGGCTAAACATTCGACCATGACTGCTAACATTATGTATATATATTACTAATTTATGATGACATAGATTAATATTTGCATTTTAGAATGGATATTTCATATGCTATTTACATGATTAGTTCTTGAACAAAATACATTGCGTTGTACAAATGTTGTATAAACTAATAATACTAACCAGTTTTGAATTAAGTCTAAGAAAGTGTTTTATAATATTTTTATTTTATTTTCAGAGAATAATGTCAACAGAAGAACCTGTTGTAAATCATGTTGAGTTGTGCGTTGAAGATATAAACTATACTATATCTATTTTGAAAAAATTTGGATTTAGAGTATTTGCAAAACGGGAAACCGTCAAATGTAAGCAGGTTGCACTAAGACTGGGTAAAGGCATCATATTCATTGTCAATAAACGAGTGTATCACGGAAAAATAGTAGGGAGTGAATGTGATTCATCTAACAGTTTTCCAGTTTTCGTTTGCTGCGGGGATAGCAAACGGCACACTATTGATTCAGTTTTTAATGTGTCGTTTAATGTCAGAAATGTGTATAATTTGACTAAAAAGATTGCGTCGGAAATAGGATCAGTGATTCTAAAACCAAGAACAGTTACTGATGAATACGGATCTGTTACATTCTCATGTGTTCGGTCATGTGTAGGGAATGTGATTCACACTTTAGTAAACAAAACGGACTATAAGGGTCCGTTTCTGCCTGGATTTAAAATTGTAGAAGATGAAGAATTTTCTTGTGACGATTCGGGATTACAACTCGAAGAAATCATGACGCATGTGGATCATGTAACCATTGCCGTGACTAAAGGAGATTCTGAAAGAGTTCTAAAATTTTATGAAACCTGTTTTGGAATGAAAAAATTCAACATCAGCCGGTAAGTTTTTTTTACGTGTACATTCTAGTTTATTAGGTTAGACAATTTTTCTTTATTTTAATACACTATTTGGAAGAAAGTGACGGGACACGACACTATAACGACATAAACCTATATTTATTAAAATTAATAGGAGGTAGGGCCTCCTTTGGCTGCGATCACAGCTGCAACCCTTCTGGGCATGCTTTCCACTAAATTGGCCTTAGTGGCAAGAGGAATTTCCTTTTAAATGTTTAACAGGAAGTTCCATGCTTGCTTTTGCCCTCAACCGACGGTCCAATTCGTCCCAGAGATGTTCAATTGGGTTAAGATCAGGGCTCTGCGCCAGCCACTCCATGTGTTTAACGTTGTTGCTCACATACCAATCAAGAGTCCTCCTTGCAACATGGCATCTTGCGTTGTCGTCTTGATACAAGCAATCATCCATACCGTACATTGCTCACAAGGTAGGAAGGACATGATTGTCGAGAGTATCACAATATTCATCGGCATTCATCATACCATCAACCTTCACCAGTGGGCCAGTCCCATACCAGGAGAAATAGGCCCATACCATCAATCCTCCTCTCCCAAACTTTACAGTTGTCGCGTCACTTTCTTCCAGATAGTGTATATAGGTAATGTTAATGCATGGAATTTTGAGCAACACTTGAAACAGCATCAAAAAGTTTATTTAGATGTGAATTAAAAGCTCTTTTACTCAGAGGTGAAGGTATATTCATTGTAGCACACAGTTTTTATGCTGCGTCGTGTCCTCTTCCAATTTGTCTAAAACCATACACAAATCTGGAATTAATTTCGTGTTGTTTTCTTTACTAGAAGAGGCAAATCCTTTAACGAAATCACATGTTTCACATTTTATAGAAAAGTGTGAATTAAGTTCATATCTGCTATCTTCAACTAAACTAATGGCAGTTGAAAAACAAGTGGGACAACAGAACACTGAAAAAACAATCTTGATTATATCCATATCAATAATTCTATTTATAGTAACCGATTCAGAATCGGTAATATTGCTTTTTTGCGGGTTCAGTTTACTAGCACTCACAGTTGGAGTAACTATATCCAAGGAAACATCGGTTTTTTTCTCATGAATCTGCTTCCATAAAACTTTCGTTTATGTTTCAGTGAAGAATTTCTAGGCATTTCAACGCCAGAAGTAATAAACGTAACAATTAAAAAATAGTCAACTTAATAGAAAAATAGTCAACTTAATAGAAAAATAGTCAACTTAATAGAAAAATAGTCAACTAAATAGAAAAATAGTCAACTTAATAGAAAAATAGCCAACTTAATAGAAAAATAGAACAGAAACAGTAAACGTAACAAATTAGCAAAAATATTATAACGAAAATTCAACAAAAATGGGATATTTCCGTATCCTGATCTTTTACTACTACAATCGCAGAGATGCCAAATAGATTTTAAACTTGCATTTTTTTTTAAAAAACGCGTAGATTTTTGTCCGGGGGAAGATACGAACTATGCATTTCGAGTTGGTCCCTTTCTGTGATGTTATTTTTAAGTTTCTCGCGGGCCGCTCCCCGGAAATTGCTAAGACTAGGCGATTATCCTACCGCAGATCAGGATACGGAAATCTCTCCACAAAAATAACGACAATATAAAGCAAAGAAATAAGAGCGCAATCAAATTCAAAAGTAAACAACCTAGTATAGAATGTTTACAGCTAGTGATGTCAAATTTATTCGAATATGATATTGTACAAATAAAGAAATGTGGTTGACAGATTTTTTTTTAATATTTTGTAAACTTATTTTATGTTTTAAGTTGAAATTCGAAAACGAAACTAGCGAAAAAGGCTTACTTCCGGTTCATAACTTACATCATAACTTCTGATCTATTTCGCGTAGAAACAAAGCTCAAACGGTTTTGGAAAGAGAAAAGTTCAGAGTTTTATTTTATATAAAAAACATAAAAATGAAATTTTACTCAAAATTGGCTAAAAAAAAGTAGTCGGGTACTTTAAATAGTTTTAAATACTGGTAGATTTTTCAATCTAATATTGTAAAATACCCGGAAAAGTCTGTCTCTCATATTAGCCATTAAGTTTACGATTTGGAATAATTCTTTTAAAAATTAATTTCAGATTTGTAAGAGTTTAAGGAGAGTTGGTATGCTTTAACTAATAATGTATATTACTTTTTTTTCTTTTTTTAAATAATGTTTTAAAATTTTTACGGAAGTTTCCTTATGTTCCCAGAAAAAGAAGTATGGTAAAAACTACAAGAATATGGTTTTATAATGCGAGATAAAATTTTGTAAATGTGGTAAAATTTAATAGTTTTAACTTGATATACCCTCGAGCCCAGCCTAAAAAACATTTATTCGATAAAATTTACTTTTTAGTTTTGTATTTTTTAATAAGTGTGCAGTATTAAGAACTATAATTTTAAAAACCACTATTTACGGAAAATCGCTACCAAATGAGCGGAAAAAATACAAAATGAATGGTTTAAATACAATATACAATGTCAATTTAATTACTTAAATTATGGCTTTTTTTTTTTACCAAAAATGTCATCACCATGCGGTACAGTAATTTTACCAGAATTTTTTTCCTCTTTGTGGAGTTCATATTTTGTTAATGTATTTAATGATATTATTTATTTTATCTATTTCAACATGGTGCAATATTAAAATAGCACATTAGCGTATAAGTTGTAGAATTTCAAAGCACAAAATACTTAAATGAATTTACAACAGCAATCTGAAGGAGTTATAAATGACAAAATTACGTAATTTTCAATAATGGTATGTTTTTACTTTAAATAACAGTTTAATTCAATTTGATATATTATATATAGAGCTGGGCATTGAGGTGATGGTTATATTTTAATGATGAAAATGGATAATAATATTTTTCTCAATTTATTTTTTTAGCAATTAAGTTTGAAAAACACAATGCTGTTAATACTGTTCCTGTACAAATTCTTACCATGTCGTTTAATGGTAAAGCCCTAAAAATAAGGCTATGTACTTGACCGTGGTTGGAGATGTGTACAAATTGCTTAAAATAATTGCGTATTCAATTAAATTTATGGAGAGTAGAATGCTACAATGCTATTCCTCGGATAGCAGGACATAATACAGAAATAAATAAACATGAAATATGAAAAAAGCCCAAAAACGATATTTATGCCATGGATATTTGGAATTGCATAGTATCTTTTTTTTACCAAGGGTAAAATAATTCAATAATATCACAATCTTTTTAAAAGTCAAAAATTCTCTTTATTTTTTTTTATTTTTTAAAAAAAAAAAATTATTTTTTCTTTCGAACAAAGAATTATCTTTTATGAAATTGTATTTGTACAGAAATCACTATTACAATTTTTCAAAATAATTCAAGTTTATAAATCTTAATTTCTGAGTATACAAATTTTATTCAAACGAATTTCTGGGAATTTAATTTCTGTCTGTTTTTTTTTTTTTTTTTTTTTTTTTTTTTTTTTTTTTTTTTTTTTTTTTTNTTATTTATTTATTTATTTTTTTTTTTTGTGCGTCAATTTAACATAGTAATTTAGCATTATTTTCTTATTATCATTTCGTCTAAATATTTTAATAAGTTTTTTTTTTATTCAAAATGTAAAAATAATTATTTTGAGAACTAAAAATTTTGTATCGAATTTTGAATGCCAAATTTTATAACTGTAAAATTCATAAAACGCCCACCAAACCTCGTCATACATTACTATACACTATTAGAAATTTCTCGGGAAAAAAATTACAGCAGTTTTTTAATTGTTATTTCACCATATTCAAACAAAATAGTATAATAACTATATTTAATATAGTATTCAAACTGTTAAGTGTGAGAAAAACCGTTTCTTGACTGATTTTACCTAATGCGATTAAACAACCAAAATTTTATCGCACCAACTAGACCCATCTATTGAAGCCACTTAGCTCCTTGTAGAAGGTTACAACTAGTCAAGAAGACTAATCTGTTAATTTCATGACCAGCAAGACGGAGGTTCGAGTCCCAGCGTTGCCACTGCAATATTTTCTTCTCCATTCCCTTTGATACATTAAAAGTTTCCAGTGTACTACACTCCCCAATTTGTGACTCTGGGCTGTTGGAATTCGATCACATTCACGCATAGATGAGAGCACCAAAAAGCTGTCTAACTGTCTCCAAAATTTAGTTTTTNTTTTTTTTTTTTTTGGTTTTGAAAGCATGCTAGTTGTAAATGGTTAAACCGTATAGTTTTTTTATTCATGGTTTTTATAATCATACTAGTTGTGAAACAGTACATCTAAAAAAGTGTTCTTTACCCTAAAATTTACGGTTAATTGGATGGGCAAACTGCTGCCGGTTATTTTATTATAATTTTAGGATGAAAATTCTAACAGTGTACATTTTAAAATCTCTAACACTAGTTTCAATTTTCTGATACTTTACTACTAATAAAAATTACTTATTTAAAAGAAATATATATGAATCATAGTCAAAATTAATCGACATAAGATGTATTTATAAGGTTTGATTCAAAGAAGTAAGAAACAAAGCTAAATATTAAACTAATATAGTTTTTAAATATTGTAAAAAAATTGCCGTAAGGTCAAAGAATTTAATATAATACTTGGGTTTAAATCTTCTATTTACACGTTTTGCAATTTCATCTACAATAAAATTTTTTTTTGTATCTTAATTACTATTTAAATATTTTCCAACATGTTTAGAATATTACCCTGTTATAGTTGATTCAGTCGATCATTAAATCTTTTTTTGTTTATTGTTATTTCTAATACATACTTTCAGAAATAAAACACTTAAATTTGACCATTCAGTAACCATTGAGCTGCATTCGTTATTTCTGTCAAATATTTTGTCACGTAATCATGTTATAACATAATTGCCGGCGTGTGATAACATGCCTGTGAGAATTATGTATTATATTATATCTTAACGCGAACTCAAAAATTTTGACGGATTACTCCACATATTTTTTTATTTCAATAATTTCTTTACTTATCATTTTTATTATTTTATTTTTGTATCGGGTGAAGAGATAGTACAAAGGTTAGTGCACTCGTTTATCAAACAAGTTTCCAGGTTTGATGCCTGGCTATTATTAAGTAAGCTGCCATTAATAATTTTACTTCATATTAATAACTGTTGTAAATAACATGCGGTATTTTTTAATACTGTAGGTTATGTTTTTTTTAAAATCGAAATTTGTATCCTTGTGATGATACAAGTGATGATAATTTCGTAAATTTGACGAAATGTTTGTTCTGATGGTTTATCAGGAAACGGTTTAGTCAAAGACGTATTTAATTACGCAAATTTTAAGTATCCATTTTTTACAGCATACAAAAGTAAATATGTTTAGAGAAATTAAAGAAAAATAATTTTTATTAGTGTTTTATTTGTAATATTTTTAAATTTAGTTTACGTAACAGCTGTATAAAAAATACTCTAACTAATCAGAGAAATATGCAGTCCAATTATTTTACTTTTTATCATACTTAATTAGAAGCAAATATTTTTTTAAATGAACGTTATTGAAAAATTACATATTTTAGGAAAGATTTAAAAATTTGAGCATAAAGTGAAGAAATTTTGTTAAAGTTAAATAAACTAAAACAGTTTGCAAAGTAAAAAATATTTATTTTCATTTTCCATTCAATATTGATAATTGAAAATGACATTTATTACTTTTGAATGTTACATTCCTCTTTTAGTTAAAGCTAATTAATTATTATTGATTCGGTTAGTTTTAGTCGATTACTCGATTAGTTTTACTCGATCGATGCTAATTAAGTCTTGGTTAAAAGTTTATATTTAAAAAAAATCGTCTAGGGCAAAGAAAAAATTAAAAAAAAGCATTTCATTTTCACAAATTTTAAACTATTTTATAAGAGAACAAAATAATGCAATTGAATAAAAAGTAAAGAATTGTTTTTTATTCCATTTCACTAAAATAAATTCATTTATCATTCCCCGACAAAAAGGTTTTTGGAGCCCACTCCAAACTGTTCTGACGATGTCGTTCGTAAACAATCTAAAAAGTTTAATTTGTTTTTATTTTGCTATGAGTAAATGATTTTGAGTAGAATTCAAATGTTTTGAAAACAAATTTTTCATGTTAATGCAAATATTTTACAACGCTGCACAGGCAGAACTTTATGTCACTTTTCATCGAAATAATAATCCATATGAAATATACATTGAGAATTTGATTGGTGCATTTAAAGAAGAAGTTTAGAAATTGAGAAAGTTTAGAAAATTGAGAAAGTAAAGAAAGTTTAGAAATTGAGAATTTGATTGGTGCATTTAAAGTAGAACTATCAAACTTCATTCATAAGGAATGTTTTTTAAATTTGTAAAAATTCTGAATTGTATTTAATTATTCGTTAAGATTTTAACTTTTCATTGTAGTTCAATTTTCTGAAAAAATATTAAAATATTGATTCACGTGAAAATTAAGAATCAAATCAATCGAAAGATCAAGCGTTGAAAGATTTACAACTGTTAACTGTCGAACTCAAAACTTCTCAAAAGTTGAAGAAATTTGTAAAGGGCTCCATAAGCTCCATGTTGTGGAACAGATCCATTATTGTTACGCTCACAAGCGTCATTAAAATTAGTTAAAGTTTCAAATCTATTATGTAACATAGTGCCTTATTTTTAAGCTGCTTGTAGTTATATGTTATGTGATGTAGCGTAATATGTGAGACTACTCTAAATAACTTTTGATCCAATGATCACATCTTCAAGCTCTAGGACTCAATCTTAATGGTTCAAGGAGGTGATAGCAAATATGCTAATTAATTAGAGCAAACGATATTTCAAAGTACAAAATCAGACACAAAAACGTACTTATTCTGCATAAACATACTTTTTTCCCGATGGTTTCAAATTTCTGACCCCCAAAATATAGTGAGTAAACACGATCTGGGAATACAAATCGATCTGGGTCCCAATACAAATGGTTCGACAATTAGGGGCCCAAAGTTTAGACCCATTAATGTTAACTTTACTTTCTGCGTATATCACCTTATCTCGAGAACTTTATAAGCGAACTGAAATTTTTTTCTCACAATTAATTCATTCATCTTAAGATCCATGTAAAAAATAACTTTTAGAAGATATTTGCCATTATTTATTATTTTACTTAATAATGGTATTTATTTGCAAGTCATAAAATTTTTCACATCATTTTAAAAAATAAAATTTTACACGGCAGAATACAAATCTGAGAAATCGAAACGACTATTCGACTGATTTGGCTCAAATTTTAAATTTTACCATGTTAAATTACATTCCTCAAAATGATCTACCTAAGGGAAAAATATGTTAGTCCGTTTCTTATATAGGCACAATCATTATATAATTTTTTCTCTTTATATTAACTATTCTGCTAACAAATAAGCGCAATCTTGTACTTTTTTAAGTATCATTTCGGATTTAAATCATGAGAAAACTATTTGAATAATTTTATTTCTCTAGAATCTTCTAAACTTATTGAACCAGATAAACTGTTGTTTTCTTCAGTTTTTTTCATTTCATTATAGATCTACTTGATTTTATCTTTTAAGTTCATTCAGCTTTTGCGTATCTATGTGATTTATACGAAACTATCCATCCCTAAAGCATAATTCAAAGTTCAAATTTAGTCTGAATGTTTAATTCGCCATTTTATTTCATTGTTTTCTTTTTTACATTGAATTGAGAATCCCTCTATTAAGTAACACAATGTGATTAAGTACAGTGTAAAATAGAAAAAAAATGGACCTCCCTGAATAACTTTTCATCTAAGGATCGGATTCTGACGTTCACGTTCATTCTTAATGGTTCGAAGGGGTGATCTGAAATATGCTAAATAATAAGTGCAGAATAATAAGTAAATATGCTAAACAATAATGGAATTATCCAAAGATAACTCCATGCAAACAATAACCTCTATTGAATATTTGTCATTTATTAGCACTTTATTTAAAAATGGTTGAAATTTCTTTTTAATTGTAAGGAATAAAATTTTTGCATCCTTCTAAAGAACATAATTTTACATGGCAAAATACAAAATTTGATCAAAATCGATCGAATAGTTCCTGAGAAATTAAATTTTAAAAATGCCAAATATTTAAAATTCCCTTTCTCAGAAACTATTCGACAGAGTTTGCTCAAATTTTGTATTTTGCCGTGAAAACTATATTCTTTAAAATAATGCAAAAAATTGCGTAACTTACAATAAAATTTTTTTTGACTATTATTAAATAAAATAATTAAAAAAATAATAAATATTTAATGAATGTTATTTTTGAATGGAATTATCTTTGAATAAATGAAAATTATGCAAAAATGCTTCAATTCTATTAAAAAGTTCTCGAGATATAACAAAATAAACAAAAAAATAAAATTAACATTAAGGGGTCCAAACTATGGAGCGTTCTTCCGACTAAACTTTTGGCACCATATTTTGCGGCTACCATCTATATTTTGGTGTTCAGAAATCTGAATCCGTCGAGAAGGTATGTTTATTCAAAGAAAGTACGTTTTTGTGTCTGATTTCGTAATTTAAAGCATCGTTTGCCGGCACAAATATAAAAATAAATATTAAATGAGATCCATTTCATTGTGCGTTGTACCATTAACCTTAAATTAGTCAAACTTTTTTATAGCAATATGCAAAATATGTGGAATAACAATTTTCTGTACTAAATAATCTGCTATGAAAATATTTCCAAACTTTCTTATCATTTCTATTATGGTTGTTATACTCCGAATGCGTATGCATTAAAACCTATGCATCGTACTTTCAAAGCATATATTTATAGCATGCTTTTTTATTCAGAAGTGAATTTTAATTTGTAGTGATTACGTTATTCTTGCTTTTGTAGAAAAAAATCTTTATTTTCTCTCTTGAGTAATATTATATTTTTGTAGACAAAACATTTAAAATTCTGACTCATGTTAAACCATATCATACTAACCATTGATTCGTATACAGATGGTTACACGATATTGTTATTAAAAAAATTAAAATATTTTGCCTAAAATTTTTTATTCAATGCCACATTAGAGAGAAATTTAGCAAATTAGTTTGATAATATAGCTTTGAATACCAGTATTATTGTTTCAACTTTAAACTACTTTTTCTGTGATTGAAAATTGACAAACCGTCACGAGTATAATTCTTATTAGAAGTCTTACCCAAAATCGAGAAAAATTTTTTTTCCAACCATTTCATATCTGGAACATTACCGGGAGGAGTACCAAATCCGTCTTATTCGATGTATGCAAACATGTTATAAATATAAGACTTGGTATTCATGGATTTCGTATTCCTTCCAAAAAACATTAGAAATGAATTGGTTATACTACAATTTTTTGCTCATTTAGTAAGTTTGTATGCAGGAGTTTTTCTCGTGACTGTAAATCAATAGTAAATTTCATCACAGAATTTTAAAAGCAATTTGTTTTGATTAATTTCAGCTGAAATCTCTTTTATTTTTTATAGGGATAATGAATCTGATGATGGTCTGATTTTAGCTGATTCTATAGGTATTAAGCTTAAAGCTATGGAATACTATCGGTGCGCCGAGACAGGACTCATTTATCCACCATCGTGCCAAAACCGAGAACGAAATTCAAACAGTCTGATGCTAGTCGTTGTTGAAAGCCTTCCAGGGCAAGGTAATGATTATAAGATGATGATAATAATAATAGTATAATAAAAATAATTGTCATGGGTAAAAATAATAATAGTAATATGATAATAATAATCATAGTAATATGGTAAAAATAATAACAGTATTATGGTAAAAAAAATAATAATAATCATAGTAATATGGTAAAAATAATAATAATAGCAAAACGTTAAAAATAATGGGATAATAAAAATCTGTTCATTATACACTATGTTGTTGAAGGTCTGCCACGGTGTATAATAATAATAATATATATAAGTTATATATTTTCTATTATTAGTTTTACGAAACAAATCCTTTTATTCAAAATCGAAATTTTTATTTTTTCAGCTGATTGTAACATTGAAACTTTCCTTCGTGAACACCAGCAAGGGGGGATCGAACATGTCGCCCTCAGTACGACAAACATATATAGAGCAGTTTCATTAATGACAGTAAAAGGATGCAGTTTTCGGAAACCTCCAAGAGCCTATTACAGCGAAGTAAGTAAAATTTAAAACAAAAATTTATTATTTTTTAAGCATTAATGAAGAAAAGTTGAACAGTGTGAAAAAAAATCTTTTATAATTCTTTATCTAATGATCTTATTGTCATGCATTAGGATTCAATTTTATGGGTTCGAGATCCTTACCAGAAATTGATGAAATTAGTGAAAAAAGTTAAAAATTAATGAGTGAAAGTTCATATGCCTTTTAATGTCCTTTTACGTATTTCAACATCTTGAAGAAATATTTTTAAACTTTCCTTTCGTAAGAACTGATTAATTCTCTTCAAATTTCAGATTTTATCATTTAAAATTACGTAGACACACTATAAGTGCCGGTACTTTTTAACATAAAATTTTAAAGAACAAAAAATCTGATATACCTTAGTTTATACTGTATTTACTGAATCACTGCAATTAAATAAATTCTACTGTAAAAATTACGGTATAAATTTTGCGGTAAAAAAGGATTTTACTGATGCTGGCACTGTCAGTATTTTTTAGCGTAATTTAATGAAGAATTTTTTACAGTGTATATGAAAAAGAAGCTTCAAAATGTTTTTGAACATTTTGGGGTCATTAAAAAAACATTTTTCTCTCAATTAAAATAGCATAAAACAATAGATTTATAATAATTTTGGAAATAGTATGCAGAGGTTCATCGCGAAACAGATTTTGTTTTGCAGTAATTAAAATTAGTTTTATTATATATATTTGCTATAGACTATACATTTATATATATGTTTAAAATTTATTTATTTTTGTTCACGAAAACAAATTGCTCAGTTGGGAAATAAAAGCCACTTATAAAACACGTATATGAACAGTTCTGTCAGTTGTTTACACAAAGATATTTCCACTTTTGTCACTAATGATAGGATCGTATAAAATTGAACCTTGTAGGTTGGTCGATGACAAGTAGGGCACGACTCTTGAACAATTATTTCATTATAATGTGAATGAAAATACAATTTATTAGCTTTAATTGTAAAATAATCAACTAAAAAGCAAAGCAAAAGTTATTTAATAAAAGTTGTAATGGACATAAAGAAGAAAAGTTTTAATTTCTGAAATTAACATTTTGAAATAATTAATTTAAATGTAACTTTATTTTATTTGTTTCATGAATTTCATAGTTTAGCACGAAACAATTAAAATAAACATTGTAGTTTTAATTTTTAATATTAGTAATGGTTAAAAAATGCAATCTACAGCATAACAATATAAAAATAACTATTAGCTAACCTATTTAAAATATTCAAGAATATTACTATTACTTGCAATTTATTTCAATTTGTAAATGTGCGATTTATTTCATTTGTATATAAGCACAAAGAATAATAATAATATAGAAGAAAGTTTAATGGGAAACAAAAGGTCTTCATCAGGACACATCCTTAACGATAAATGCGATATTTCAGAATATATATAAGTTACGGTGAATGATCGGAGTAGGTAGTTGTTGACTTTCACCGGTGAATTTGGAGAAACACCAAAAACGTAGGTGAAAGATCGAATATTTCATTACATTCTTGTACATTCGAACCTTAACCGGTGTATGTCAACAATTCACAATGTCCGAAATATTTGTTATATCCAATTTTACATTAATTTATTCGTTGATATTATTATATTTATTTGATATATTTATATTTATTGTATATTTTAATACTTACTGACGATAGATTAGACATCAGTGTAGGATATACCGAGCCAGTTAAAGTTAAGTGCCACTGCCCGGTATACCCTACACTGATGTTTTTTTAAGGTTAAGTGCCACTGTCCGGTATACATTTGCCCGGTATACCCTACACTGATGTTTTTTAAGGTTAAGTGCCACTGCCCAGTATACATTTGCCCGGTATACCCTACACTGATGTTTTTTTAAGGTCAAGTGCCATTGCCCGGTATATATTTGCCCGATACTTGGTGTATACCGGGCAGTGGCACTGAACCTTAAAAAAACATCAATGTAGGGTATGCCGAGCAAATGTATACCGGGCAAATGTAAATGTATGGCCCAATGCTCCAAACACTGATGTTTCTTCTGATCTATCGTCAGTAAGTATAAAAATATCGAATAAATGTAATTATATCCACGAATAAATTCATATCAAATCGAATGTAACAAATATTTCGGACATACACCAAACAACTAGGTGATTGTTGACATTTACCGGTGAGTGTCGGACATTCACCAGATTTCGGTCATTCACAGTAACATATATATATATAATAGAAAAAAATTATTTTTTAAAGATTTCAATTCTAAGATATAACCTTTGTTTAAAAGGTAGGAAGTCCTAACTAAAAAGTATTGACTCTTTTTTTTTTCAGCTGAGAAAAATGAAAGAAATAAATGAAGAAGAAGACATAGCGTCTCTGGAAAAACTGGGTATTTTGTTGGACAACGAATCCGAGAATTTGCCAGAAAAAAGTAATTGCCCTAAGTAAGTTTATTTTTAATTATTTTTAATCGCGTGGATTTTATTACCTCTTCAACTGAGTTTATCTAAATAATTTCAAATAGAATTGCGTCAACAGTAGAGTCAGAATTAAACAATCAATAAAAACTTCTTATGATATGTGAAAGATATTTCATAATGTGGTAAACAATTGTATATTTGGCTTTCATTAAATAAACTTTTTTATTTCATTCCTTTCCCAGGTACTTGATGCAAATATTTGCGCACCCTATATTTTTGCCAGCCAAAACCTTTTTCATCGAAATTATTCACAGGCGCAACCAAGCTCGAGGTCTTGGTCAAGGAAATATTATCGCATTAGTACGTTCGATACGAGAAGAAGAAAAAAGAAAGTTGGCTGAGTCATCAAAGAAACAAGATATTGAAGAGGAAACAAGTCGAGTTTGTTGATACCTTCACGGAATGTTAATTATGCTAAAAATGTGATTATAGTTGTCTCTGAGAGTTAAGACTTTTGGTTAAAAATAATTATAGAAGTAATAGTAGCTAAAAATGAAGCTAGTATAATTATTGTAATGTTAAGAAATATTGAAAAATGCATGATTTGAGAATTTCAGTTGAGTCCTCTTGCTAAAGATTTTATTTATCATTTTTTATGGTGTCATTTAAATTGTGCAATTTGTAATATAAAGCGAATGAAATTAATATGTTTGATTTTATTCTAGTATATAAATTACTGCTTTATATTTTTTGAGAAGGATTTGTAAAAATAACTAAAATGGAATTGCTTTTAAAAAGTTTTCGATTTGCATTAAGCAAAGAGTTAATAAAATGCTGCCTCCTTTAAAAAAATATAGAAACAATATTTTGTTTGTTTTTATTATAGTTTTTTTTAATTTATTCTATTCTATTAAAACATAGAAATTGAACGATTTGAATGCTGAATGGGTTTGTAAACTTAATTTAGTTGTACTAACCTTGTTTAAATTACCTTTTATTACCTTTGTATCATTTTAATAATCCACATCTTACCTTATCCTCTGTCAAAGAAGAAAATATTTTTTTACTTAAAAGGTATCATGATAAAATTCATTATTCATCTAACTTGTGGTGTTTATATATGAATAATTTTCCCTTGAATTGTTAGAAGATAATTATTTTTACCATAATTTTATTCATAATTGCTTTAATTTTAATGAATATTGTGTGGCTTATGTTTATTGTTATCGTTTTTTGTTACATTCATCATTTCTTTTTATAGCTCAAAACTATTGTAATAATGAAATAATTATAAAAATTTCAATAGAATGTTATGTTATTCATTACTTTCATACATATAGCAATAAAAAAAAATCGAAATAAATCTTTAATTTATATTCAATATTATTCAAACATATATTAGATTTACTATTTCAGTATGCATAATAAGTTCATGTTCGTTGAAATCTTACTAGAAATCATATAATTTTACAATTTAATAACGAATTAAAAACAGTACTAGTTTTAAAAAATGAATGTTGTTTATAACCTGTCATTGTAATGTAATATGATAAAAAACTGAATGTTTTTCTTAATATTACAAACTCATGTTGGCTTGTTATTTTGAAAACTGAAGAGCCAAAAAATTTAGGGCATGGTTATTTTCAATTCTTTTTACACTGTAAAAATGTTAGAGTATCTTAAAGCCGAAATTGCATTTACTATACACTAAAAAAATGTTCCACTACACCAAAAAGCAAGAAGCTGGTGTACTAAAGCACCAAGAAAGTTCTTTTACACTATTTGATGCAAAGTAGACACTCACCACCATTTTTATTATCCGGTAACACCAAAATTTCACTCACGGTGGCTCAGTGGTAGCGCTCCGAGCTTTTGCTCCACAGATCCTTGGTTCGGTTCTCGGGCTGTGCAAGTTTGACTCTGCCTTTCATTCCTTAAGTGGGTCGATAAAATAAGTAACAAGCGTGCTTGTGAACTAAACACTGAGGGTTCTGCGGTTGGCTAAACACCCAACCGAAACATCTACTCTTGCATCCCAGAGCCCAAGGTCAAGAAAACTGAGATGGGCACAGTAGGCGTTGACCCTCTATGGGCTGTAGTGCCAATGAGTTTATTTTAGTTTAACACTAAAATAAACTCAGAAACAAGGCTGCGGGTTTGAATCCCGCTCTGGGCATGGATGTTTCTCTCTCTCCTTGTGCTGTCCTCTGTTGTGTGTGTGCGTATGATGTGTGAATGTGGCCCACCCTATAAACGGGTTTATGGCAGAGTGGCGTGGGCAATGTTGCTCGCCTCCGTGACTTTGGTTCACAGGTGCCCACTGGGTAACGCGAAATGAGCAACAATTCTGGCATAGTATAGGGAAAGATTCAAATTCAGTGCCTGCCATCGGAAAAAAAAACTCAGAAACATTTTAGTTTAACACTAAAATTTATAATTACTGTAAAATGTGATACACATCAGAGCCAGTAAAATTATTTTTACGGCACAATATAAAGTAAGGAATATGTAGTATTTCTTAAAATAAAATTACTTTCTTAATCACAGTACAGAGAGAATATTGATGCAGATTCAATTTAGGCTTAACAAATCCGAAGTGAATCGAAGTTGAATATTATAAAATTATTTGATACAATTTATAGATTTATGTAAATCTTATGGGAACATAATATATCTGTTATACAACCAAGAACATACATGTGTTTTATAAGAGTTAACATACGTAATTTGTCAAATCGATCCAACCAGATGATTGGCAAAGAATCGACCAAAATCAATATGTTGATCAATCAGTAAAGAGAAATGAAATTTACTTAGTATTGAATAAGTTATGATGAGTTAGTCAACTCCATCCAGCAAGAAGAGTGAAAACACTTGCAAATGATCGACTGTGACCGTGGCTCTCTTTTAGGTACTAGGATCGATAGCTAAGGCTAGTTATGTCTACTATCATAGATCGAAAAAACACTGAAGATATCAAAACTTATTCTGAAGATATAAAAAAGTTTATATCTTCAGAAATAATAAAGTAAACTCCATCGTTATGAGTAGACGAAGTTTCAAGCCCCGGGTTATATCACTTCTAACACAAATAAAATGTAATCTGACTTTTGTTTTCCAAAACTTGCAGAACTATTAAAAGCTGAAACATATCCACCGGCCTGTTGACTACCTTAAACCGCGTGAAAACATCTGAGCTTGGTGTAAACTTTATGAATTATTGGTGTTAAGATTTAACAGCTAGTAAGACAAGCAGCAGGTGCTAACAAATTGTTGATTACCTCAAAACTGCAAGATTCCAAAGAACAGAAGTTAAGCGACTAATAAACGAATTTTACTGTTTATCATTATAATTTTTTTCCTTCTTTTCAATGATGGCGTAAAATCTAAAATCTCATAACAATGTAGAAACAAAAAACGTAGGACAAAACGTAGGAACGTAGGACAAAACGTTTGGTTAAACGTCAAAAAAACGTAGGACAAAAAAAATTAGTTTTTATAAAAATGTCTATACTTTCTTAAATATTTTAGCTAAGTTTACGAAATTTTATGCAATTCTTACAAATAGTATAAAACCAAAGTGTCGATTGAGTTTATGAGTTAATTATTATATTTTCTGGATAGGATGTTTCCGTTCGTAATTTGTTGCCGGTCCCTCAAGTCCCCCCTAAAGGTTTTTAAATTTATTACAATCTTAAAAGTTATGAAATAATCCTCTAGGTATTTGTTGAGGAATTTTTTTTTTAAAAAGTTCAATAATTATAAGTTTCTGGTCTATTTTTGTACGGTAGTGTATATTTAAATTTCCTTAGTCTTATTTCATCACTGTTTCATTTTTTTAAAAAATAGTTAAGTGCTTCGATGGACACAACTGGCTCCACCTGCATTTTGGAAAGATCCAAAACAATGTTTTTCGAAAACACCGGTCTTTGTTAATTTAAAATTTTTGTCGAAAGTTAGATAAAGGTGATTAAAATTCATAAAAGATTATCCCGATTCATCAAAGCAGAATTAAATAATCAAAATACGATTTTCTTATTGCAAGTGAAAAATACTGAAGACCGAAAAGCTAACAATATTAAAAAATTTTTTTACGCTTGCTACATTTGCATATTTTTAAGCTACATTTGCTGCAATTGATGATTTGTCAATCTTTAATAGTTTTCTTTTTTAAAATGTTACTTAAAGACCACCTCTGTGTAGTTTTTCTACATTTTATTTTTGTCAAGAATTCTAAAAAAAAACTCGAACTCTCCTCCCCCCCCCCATTTATGGAACAACCTACATACTAATAAACCCCTAAAAAAATATTCTTTCCGTGACGCTTTGGATGTAAGGGGGGGGGTAATTTATTTACGCAGTAATAAAGAAAAAAAAATGCGTTAAATTTTTATCTATGCCGATAGCACTTCTAAATAATCAGATTATGTTTATCCCAATAAGCTGCGAATTGAACTATAATTTTTCCTTCTCGACTTCCATCGTTCTTAAATTTTGAAGGTTATATCTTGTTCGATGCTACCCCGGATGAAAAGTTTAAAAACAGTCTAATGTTATCCTAAATCATTCATGTGTGAAAATAGAGTATTTTTAGATTCAAATTTTCTTCGTAATCCATCAGAATTTTTTTTCTTCTTAACATACTCGTTTTTTATGATTACTTTATTCTTAAGCGCGTGTAGTTTTCTAGCATGTAAATTTCATTATATATCCGTCTGAATAGCACAAAGCAATAACTAAACTACATTTTAAGAATATTGTTTACTGAAGATTGTTGAAACTAGGTTGTACAAGTTTGAGGGAAAATTTAAAGTCCCTTAAATAAAAGAATTATAAAAATGGTAGGAGAAAAATCGTACGGATTAAAGTTTAAGTACGACTTTTTATTCAAAATAGTATATGGATAATTATTACAGATAAGCAGCTTTAAACCAAGTACTTTTACAAGAAGCAATTTGTGACGAAATTGTTTCCCTTTTAGTGGAAATATTTAAAAGAGATTATTTTATTTCAATAATGAACAATTTTCTTCTCGAAAATCAACAAATCTCTTTTCCTTTTTAATTGTTTCAAGTGTCGGAATTAAAGATGAAAGCCTTAAACCTACAATTAAAATTGCCATTTTTTTAACACACTAATATGTACACTATAAACACTACTGATACACTACTATACACTGCACTGTAAAAAAATCCGAATCAAATTGTGGTAGAAAGTATTTTTTACCGTAAAATCCATTTTTACCGGAACATTTTATGGAACAAAAAATCATCTATATAGTAACTTTTGCAGTAATTACCATAAAATCACTTCTAATTAAAAAATATACTATAAAAATTACGGTATAATATTTTACAGTAAAAATGACTTTTACAGCAAAATGGATTTTACGGATGATGAGCCCAAAGTGACAGTATGTAATATCATAATTTGATCCAGAATTTTTACAGTGTAGTAATAAATTTAGGTAAACTCTCAAGATATGGATTACTTCAGAAATCATTAAAAAACAGTTAACGAACAAAAAAGTTTTAAAAAATTGTAATGATATTGCAGATAAATAATTATCTATTAAGAAATTATTTCATATTTGTTCATAAAGAGAATGTAAAAAAAATATTTACACCTGTTATAAAGTTAACGGTCGCGTAAGCACGATATCTTTCTCTCTCACGGTTTCATGAGTTTCTCTTTATTTTACGATTGCACGAGTTTCTATTTTTATAAATTGTTCCTTAAATTCATTAATAATAGATTATATTACAAAGAAAAAATTCTATTTTCTCTTATTTCACTTGTATTTGTTTATTCATACTAGCTTTAAAACTTGGATTTTGAAAAAATAGAAGAGATTTTAATTAAACGTTCGGTTTCAATGGTACAAATGGTACTTATTGATTAAAATACTCTGATAAATAAAAACAATGATTAAAAAAATATTAAAAAACATAAAATATTAAGAAACATAAACTTTTAAATATTAAAAAACATAAGAAAGTTTTTCAATATTTTAAAGTTTTGGTATTAAAAAATCATTTTGGAAAAAGAATTTTAAAATCATGCTCAAACAATTTTTGAAACGAATAGAAGTGATAAAGCTTAAAAGTGCAAATAAATAAATAAATAAATAAATAAATAAAATAAAAGAGAAATAAAAATCAGCGCTCAAAATTTCAATTTACTATATAAACTAAATTATCATCACCACTCTTAACCAGTGTTTGACTACTCATGGCTTATTCTTATAGTCTAATTAATCTATAAATAGTATAGTTTGTTTACTCATTGCCTTACTTTATTGGAGTTCGATCTATTGGAAGAATACTGTAGGATATTAATGAATGAAAAGAAATGGTAATACAA